ATTTCTTCAGAGTTTAATGTGTCAAAATCTGACAAATACAAACATTTAAATATTTAAAGAGTAAAACATTACTTAAAGAAACAATACTATGAATTATTTTGTAAAACTTTCCAAACTTAGAAAAAATTTCCATTTGCAAATTAAATAAGTAATTGAAATTTTGAAACTTTGGCTTTTTGGGTGCAGACTGGTTTTACAGAAAAACACACATGACTATGTGAACACACAGGGATCATGAATTAAAATCAAACTCATTGTCTGCAAACTTGCAGCTAAATCATACCAAATCAATCAGCTTATTTGAGGCGATGATGAGAGCCATTTTTAATTTAGCTTATAAATTTTCTACTAAAAAAAAATCTGTTTATTATCTTAGGATGAAAGGCTCCTAAGAGGTGATGTATTTCTACAGTACACTGAATGTGTACTAAGTACATGTGGCTTAAGTACTACAGAATAAAATAAAAAGATCTCTGAAATTTACTCTTTTATCTGTTGTCTGTGTCCCAAAATGAAATCTTAAGCAAGTTAAATAACCAAATTGAAAAGATGTGGAAAAAGATTTGGAAAACTTGTCCATGCAAAGCTCAAAAAGTAAACTACATAAAATTACACAGCAAAAAGGAGAGAAATTGCAAATAGCCGGTGAGCTCTAAATTTATGAAAATGTAATTATTGCTTGCCGTTTTTTATGTTTATCATACTCTATTTTTTCACAAATGCAAAAATAAATAATTTTTGTTAAAAATAACTAACATGGTAATTAAGATTTTTCATCAAGCTAGGAAAACAGGAGAACTTTTTTAAGGTATAGAAAATCACAACTTGGGACTCATTTAAACTTTAAGATCTATAATGAAGTGCTTGTTAACATTTTGAGTAAGAATGTCTTTTCATGAGGAGTGAATCCCACATCGCTAAAGAAGGTAATAACCACTCCTCTGAAATTTGTACTGAAAACTCTCTGCGTTTTTTTTTTAGAATTAAGGGAAAACAAAAAGCATTCTTAGGTAACATTACTGAAAAAATAAACCTGTTAATTGAAAGAACTCGGTACTTTTACAATAATGAAAATTTAATGACGTGAGAAAAATCTTCTAAGGTGTGAGAAAAAGAAAATCACTAGTGAGGGTTTTTATACAGTTTAACACATTATTGCATATTTTATTTTTCAATTTAATGGTTTCATGAGGGGGGGTAGGTGCCTATTTTTCTAAACAATCTCCTTTTATAAAAAAAAATTTTTTTTTAAGATTTTTTTTTAGCTCAGCAAGCTGATTAGTCTTGAAGGTACAGAAAGCTGATCGCTCTTGTGAGTGGCAGACAGGAAGACTTAGTATTCATCCCTGTCTCCTTGGACTGGTTTTAAAAAATGTATCAACTAATAGTTTATTGTGTTATGAAATGTTATGTCATGTGTATCCCCCACCCCGGGGTTAGGGTAACCAAATATTCTGTGGACTTCTACTGTTTTCAGGTAATTCACACCCTCCCATCACACATACCAATGAGTTCTACCCTTTTCTCTTAATATGTTTTATTTTCCTAGATTTTGTAATTCAAGAATCACCTCATGCTTGATTTGGTCCCTATAGCTACTATTTGCTCCAAATAAAGGAGTTAGGAGATAATACAAGGATAAATCCTACATGAAAATATATTCTACATTTTACAGAACAAAGGCCTTTATAGGGTGTGGAAAGTGGGATTAAGGAATAAACTGAGTCATTCTACACCAGCTAAAGGACGTATGTTCTTCAGCTGCTATCAGAATTTTAAAAGATCTCAGATTTAGTGATCTATTCCATCTGATATAAAGCCAAATTGAGTAGAAAATGTTTTTTTAAAGAAGTATAATTAGAACAATAATTATTATTTTCCCAGAAGTATTACTGGTAAAAGGGAAGATCTTACAAGATTCGTAAAATCTTACAGAATATGATTTAAATATATGCCTTGGTGTTGTGAACATAGCTTGAAAGTGTAAAACTCTGTTTTGATTTCCTGCAAGTTACTTTTCATTGATTTTGAAGTTTAACGTTTCTATTAGAATTTCACACCCACGTTGGCACAATTTACAGGAAGAAGAAAATTGTGACATAATATGTATATTTTTCTCCCCCCTATTTTCTACATCCTAAAACCTGTTGATTTACTTTGATTTTAAATTTTAAAATATGATTTTAGAAGTAACAATATTTCACAAGAATCATTCCTGATTCAGATGTCCTTTTACTCATTCGAAATAAGGATGTATGCATAGTTCCAGAATCCAAATTATTGGTTTTCAATTTGGGGGACAGAAGAAATAATACAAATAGAATAACAAAATATCAAAATGTTTTTGATTCTTTAACGCAAATATAAGTAAGCCTGGACATGATATCCTACACAAAGGAGTTATAGTAGTGTATATAAAATTTTATATATTGAAATTATTTATACTGTTAAAATTTGCAAGGATAACAAAAAATAGAGTTGTAATGCAGAAATTACTATTGAATGTATAACTTGATGATGAGATTCAAATTAAGAGTATCATAATATCAAATACCAATACTTAACATTATAATTCATTAATCCATTATAATTCGTTAGTCAAATGTCCCAAGGAGAGGGCAGAATGTACGAGTGTTTTCTGGAAACTAATTGCTAAAACTTAGTAGAGTCTGAAAAGACTTGAGAATTGGAAGCTCCAGCTGGGTTTAAAAGGATGGGGGAAGGGATGTTTCTCTCTATTAAATATTTGAAGCACCACTTTCAAAACAAAATCCACGAATGTCTCATCAGTTCCCGTTGCATCAGGCTGACTCTGACTCTATCTTAAGCATTTTTTCCTTTGTAAAGATGAGATTTAGAAACATGCACATAAGACATTTTGCGTTGATTTAGACCAGTTGTGAAAAAACATGGTTCAGAGTAGGATTTCAAATTGTTGCACTAAATATAATAACATTTGCAGTCGTGGCACCGCGCCACAATAATTTTAAAAGATTTCATTTTACTTATGATAGTAAGCCATTATCTGATCATATTTGACTTCCATATTAATATTTTCGTTATTATTCAAGCCCTTTTTTGCTCTGTACAAATTGTCAGTCCTGTGCACTGGGAGATTATTTATTTACTCTGGAAATATCTGGAATTCTTTCACCCTATCTTTTCCTCCGGGGCTCCCTCCCACACCTCCAAAGTATTGATATTAACGTCTAGAGAAGGGGGGCACATCCAACAAAAACGTGGGACTGAAAGAGGCCTTTCTTGATGGTATACTACGGGAGAAGAAGAAAAAGAGAAAAAAAAGAAAATGATAATTGTTTTCTCTAAGGCTATTATCTAATGCGAAAGCAAATAGTCAGTTTGGAAATCAGCTAACAGAAGGGGATTAGGGAGGAGATCTGAGAGTGGCTTGATTTCTAGAAGAGCTGTCTCTGCAGCCAGTGATGAGATACAGGCAGGGCAGCCAGGAGCGCTCCAGATGGCCGGGGAAAGTGGTCGTCTTGGGTTACTGCAGGGCACTCGGGCCGCCGGAGAGCAGACGGCCGGGGAAGGCATCATTAGGGAGCCAGCCCCACGTCCAGCCTGCACCGGAGAGGGCGAGGCCGGGAGGGAGGCCGCCCACTCGCCCGAGCGCGGCGGGCCTGCCCATTGTTAACATATACTTGACCTAGTGACCCCTGTACGACACAGATGTCTCCCACCTCCACCTCCCCCCGCCCCGCCGCGAGCCCTCCCCCCTGCACCTGGTAGCGGCCGCGCCACCGCCTCCCTCCCGAGCGGCTGCGGCCCCCGGGGCGCGGGCGCGCGCCGGAGCCGGCCTGGTGCGGGCGCTCTCGGCGCACAGCGCGGCGCTCCTGCTCCCCGGCGGCCGCCCGGCCGCCCTGCAGATAAATGCGTCGCCTTCCTCGAGAGTGAGCGAGGGCGGGCGAGGCAGACGCAGACGCCGCCTGTGACAGTGGCAATTCCCTGCGCCCCACATCACATTTGTCTGCCACAGCAGCAACAAGAGAAAAGCGAAAGGAGGGAGGGAGGCGGGAGGAGGGGAGCGGAGCTCCGCAACTCTTGGTTTCTGCGTGGAGGCTGCGTGTGGCTGGCGTCGCTGACCCCGGGCTTTTTGCACCGCAGTTAGCTCTGTGTAGCGCCCGGCGGCCGCAGGCTCTCCGCGGCCTCGTGGCGAGCGCGCGTGGGCGAGTGGCCGGGGACGGTCTGGCCTCAAGAGGGAAGCTGCGCCGCGCCCTCGCCCCCTCGCCCCCTCGCCCCGCGGGCCGGCGGAGAAGACGGGAAGTTTGATTTGCAACTCCGAGCTTGTGGCGGATGGTGGGACTCTCCGGCCCTGTGCAGTGTAAGTGCCCGCGGGGAGGGCTGGGCCGGCGGGGGAGCGGGCGGCAGGGACGGGCCCCTGGCTATTGCTATTAATTATTATTCTGGTGACCGTCATCTTCATTTGGATTATTCTGCGGAGAGGCTCCAGGCTGTATTTGTCGCTCGATTAGGGTAGAACCACACACCAGGGCAAAGAGGAACATCACGGGTGACTCCAGTCTGCGATGACACTGAACTTCTTGGGTCAACCGAAATTGCAATTTTTACTTTTAGATTTCCCGCACTGTCTTTTTGCAGTAATTTTTCTTTCCTCTCCATGATCACAATATGTTAGCAGGAAGACGATGCGTGTATTTCCCCCTCCCAGCAAAACAAATGGTCCAGGTGCCCACTGAGCGTCTGGCAGGTGGCCCTAAACCCGCATCGTGGGGTTTTTAAACTGGAAGGGAGAGGCTTGTTTCGATGGTGGAAAACTTAGCTCTAGGAGCAATGGGGGCGGAATCTTAACTTTGGGACCCGGCTGAGACTAGGGTCGGGGTCCTCTTAGCGGTACCCAGGCGCTCTGCGCCCGCCCGCGACCTATCCGTCACTCCTGGGGCGTTTGGGGTGCTTGAGTGAGAAGCCCCTGGAGCGCCTGTCGGCGTCTCCCGATCGGAGCGTCTCTCGCCCGGGACTGGCCTGAGCCTTTCCACCGGGGTCCTGCCCCGACCTCCGCGCGCCCGGGGCCCCGCCGCCCCGGCCCTCGGGTGTTCCCTTGCAATCTCGACTCGGCGCCGCCTCTCCTGAGCGGGGAGCAGAGCCTGGTGCGCGCAGTTCCCGCCCGCCGGAGCCCAGACGGCTCTGGAGAATTGCGTCTGGGGAGTTCCTTTCGTTTTCCAGAAGCCGGTCTGGTGAAGCCCCCGGCCCGGTGGAGAAGTGCCCTGGGCCCTGCCGCCCAGAGCTCTGGCTGCAAACCTGAAAGGACTGAGTTGGCGGTGGGCGCACGCAGACCCCTCTCCCGGAGCGGCTCTTGCGCTGGCCAGGGTGCCTTAAGCAAGTACGGTGAAGTTGGCACAAGGCGCTGAAATCTTTTGAAACTTTTTTTTTCCTTGGTAAGGGCGGTCAACCCTTGGAAAAGTTTGAGTACTATGATTCCGGGAAGTAGGATGTGAACCAAGACGGTTACTAAAAATAGTCGTGCCCGCCCCCTCCAGGCCTTTCAGTTTGGACGATTTTGGCTGGGGAGCCTTGCAGCCCTTGGTCTCCTTATTCCTCGCAAAGCATAGTGGAGAAATCTTTTGACTATAGCTTTTCTTCAAGATTCGGCGCCTCGAATCCCAACGTGCCCCAGCCTGGCTACTGCTTTCTGGGAGAACCTGCAGAATGTCGCTGTTAAGGAATAGCTAGTGTTCCCGGTAGAGGAGGTTCTGCAGACCAGTCACCGAGGCCAGGGCGACAGAGTGAAGACCAGGAGAGCTGGAGAGGCCACTCCAGACTAACTTCATGTGCTTAACGTAACTCTGAGCCCCCTTGAATTTTTAACTTAGCTTCCCTTAATTAATCTGCCCAGGGCCTTTATATAAATTGCTGTCCACAGCTGCTGCAAATTGATTTATCCCCTGATAAAGGTCGGGTTGCTGACCAAAGCATTTTCTTTTTACCTTCTGTGTGAACTGAAATCTGTTTTACAGGGTTTTTCCCCCTCCTAGTCTCCTATTAAACATCTGTATCATTTTTAAGTGCACTCAGTGGCTTTTTATTATCATACCCCTCCCTTTGCATAGAATAGGAGTGGAACTGGGTCTGTGCCCAGTGAGTCCACACTCACCAGAATACAAATTGACCAGCCTGTCTGTGATAAATGGTTTGTTAGTGTTGGGGGCCACCTTTGAGTTTATTGCAGCATTTTTCCTTGACCATGTGAGTATTCTGTTGTGCCCAGTTTCTCCTGTCACACAGTTCCTTAGAATGGGTCAACAAACACCATTGTTTCTTAGAACATCATAGCCCCAACCTGGGTGTTTATGTCAGCTGTGATGTGTACAAATAGAAGGGAATTCCTGCTTCTGTGCATTTTTTCCCCCTTGTTTATCCTTAAAGTCTTAATATTATGGGGGCTTTCAGATAGCGTAAACAGGCTGATTTCTTTTTCTTTTTACTGATTGTTGTTGCTTAAGGGAGGTCTGACCATCTCACTCAGTGTTAATGAAGGAGTCTTAGTTTAACCCAGGCTTTTTTTTGCAGCCAGGGTGGATGTTGAGTAAGTCCAAGTCTCTCATTGGTTTACTGGTACTGTATTTAGCATTTGATATTTCTTTGGTTTATTCTTTCAAAAGACAAAATTCCATCCAAATAACCAAGGCATCAGGCTCATTCTGAGTGCATAAAAACTGACTTTATCTAAGATTATACTAAGAGAAGAACTATATATTAAAAATCTTTAAGCGTTTAATAATTTTATTGTAAACCATTTAGACAGCAGTCACTTTATTTGGAAAACTAAATGCTGAGCGGGAGAATTTGAGTATGTAGTTTGTCCAGTGTCCAGTTCATACCTAATAAAAGCAGTGAAGAAAACAGTCTTTTTCTTTCGTGTTTGGACAACTCAAGGCAGACCAGAAGTCTTTGAAATGTTTTCTGTTGTAGGTTTAGTCTCTGACACCCTAATGCCTGCTAATAATTTGATTTTAAAATGATCCTTAAAGGACCTTCCTAATAAGAAGCATTCTACTTGCAATACAATGCAAACTGCACTATTAAATGTCAAGTTGCTGGAAATGGTAGGACAGTATGTGTTGCATCTACAGGACTGCAGCTTTTTAATATTTTTACAATTTTTCCTTTCTGAAAAAATTAAAATATTGCTCTTGATGCGAGGATTCCATGATGCACTTTCCCATGGAGGATATTAATCTAACTATTTGCAGATAAAAGCACACTTCATAAATTGCAAAGAACTACACAAATGTAAGGTGCCATTATCGTTTATTGTAAAATAGAAGCTTAGCCAAAAAAAATTTTTTTTAACATTGAAAAGGGATCTCGAGAAAGAAATGCTTCCAATAGGAATGCTGGTCACTGGTTGTCAGTTTAGGACATTCTTCACTGTCAAATCCTGTTTCTCACTTCTTTGATATGAACATCAGCTGACAGGCACTGAATGCAAAGCCTTCTTCATTGAGGTTTTATGCAGGCAACATAGCCCGTTGTACCAAAGCAGTCTGAAAAATTGGCACCTGCAGGATTTGCATGTGAAAAAAACCGAGCCAGTTGCATTTTATTGGAGTCTATTACTGTAAGTTATGTAAGTTCAGTGAGAAAAACTTTTTATTTGTTGCCGTTTCGGCATTTAAAAGTTCTCTCTTTTACGGACACCTTGTTCATCGTGTAGTGATGCACAGACTGTCAATAGCAGAAGCAGGCAGAAGAGATCTCTGATTTCATAGTAATTTATTATAGAATAGAGTTATTTTTAACCATGTGCTTACACAGTGCACTTACATTCATACTTAATTTTTAAAATGTGCCTTAAAATGATGAACTCGTACAACTTTCAGAATAATCTATCAGAAGCTAAACAAATACATAAAATTAGGTTAAGATAAATATCCTTTGAAAACAATCTAGGATTTTAAGAGTTATATACTTCAATAGCAAGTTAACATCTGTAAGAAAGAAATTAAATCTTTTATACTTCTAAACTTCAGCAAAAATGTTTTCCCCCATTTACTTGTTAAATCATTTGTTACCTAAATACCTTTTAAATATATCCTGTGTGACCCTATTTAAGCAAAATAACTTACAAATGTTAAATCAACTAAAACACCTTTGTGAACCTCAGAGTATTATCCATCAATGAGAACATTTTATCCAGAATGTTGTTATCTAAAGAGACACCTTCCAACTTCACTTTTTTACAGCGATTAATTTAAGAGTTCCTAAATACTGTTTAAAGAACAGTGAACATTTTATTAAAGCAAACATCAGTTCAGTTTAATGGAGGTAATTGTAAGTGATAAGACAGAGCAGGTTATCTGTGTTGTTTAAACAGAAGGAGCTACTTTGCACCATTTCCAGTAGCCATCTGTAGAAGAGAAGGGTTTGCACCTGTCTGTCCACACTAATTATAGATTAGGGCCAAAGAAATGAAATTCGAGGAGGTTTTCAGCTAATGAAATCCATACTGATTTTATTGTAAATGTGTTTTGTGTAAAGAGGGTGATGGTTGAGTTATGAGTGAATAAATCGCTATGTAGCTGCTAGGCACTTGGGTTGGAAGCACAATTCTGCATTAACCTTTGATATATTAAAAAAAAGACAAACAACTTAGACATGGATGCTAGCCTTTGTTTGGCATCTATAGCTACAATTTGGTGAGCAGCAGTGAGCTTCAGTGTGCAATTTAAAAATGCCCTGTAAAGCAGCTTAAATGTTAAGAATATTGTAATATTTTGAAATGCAGATGAAGTGGAAGGTAGGTTTTGTTTTAACTTATGTATATAAAACATTAGAAAATTAGAAAGCGTTTTTCTTTTTCTCTGCATTTCAGTTGCACATACATGAGAAATTAAAGCAAAATGGGTGAGGAATGCATTCTGCAATAAAAGGTCACATGAATGTCTACCACATCTGTTTATAGTAATTATGAACATAATTAACATAAGAATTACAAATGAAATAATGACAAGCTGAGCAATGAGATATTATGCCATAATGGTCATATGTTGGAATTCTCACATTATAGCACACTAGAATTCACATACTCAAAGAAAGAAAGAAAATGCTAGATTTTTATCTGAATTAATGCTTCAAAACTTATCTGCCTGGGGCAGATGGACTTCTTGCTTTTATAGGAAGGTAACCTGTTATTAAGAAAAGAACTAGTTGAAATTAAGATTTTTAGTCTCCAGCCTAGACTGTAAGACAGCTGTGATTATAGAAACCACTTTCTGTTATACACTTATTTTGTGATTGTACTTCTTGATTATTATGTTGCCTTTTTTTTTTTAAATGATAGCTTTGTAGCAAAGTGTTTGCTTTGGAAGAGAGTCATGGATTCTTCCCATCTGAGAATTGGTTGATCTTTTCTATAACTGTGAGCCAAAAGTCAATGAACAAACAAGGTAGTAATAGAAATACTGTGCCTTTACAAAATAAGAACATTGGCAGATTAGCTTTGCACGGTTTTTTTTTATGCCTTCAGTGTTTGGATGCTTTTTAAAGAAAAATGTAAGCCTTTTCTGTGTTTGAAAGTAGTAGTGTATTTGGTTGTTTTTTAAATAGCATTTAATGGTGGGCATTTTTAAATTGTATTTTTTTCTTCCTGGAGTTGCACTGGATTTATAGGCATTTACATATAGTCTGTGTCCATATGGATCTAACTGAAGTATAATAAAAGGGAAGGTATGTGTGGTTGCATCTGGTTACTCTGAAGGTAGTTTCCTATAACAGCTAGAGAAAAGTGAAAAGTGACCTTTTATGAGAGCTAAAACGATACTTCAGAAATCTGTTATTAAATTTAAAACATGTAAGAATGACTGATTTTCACCCATTTAGGGCTCATTTGATTTTGTAACGTACCCTGCCAAATGGTTTACTTCCTACCCTTGCACCTTTCTGTAACTATAGAACCTGGTCAGTTTTTGAAGATTTGTGGGAAAATATTACCTTGTTCTTGTCTCAGTGATACTACAAGGTTTACTACATTATTGGATTACTCGAGGATGGTGGCAGACCCCTTTTTATCTGACATTCATTGCATGACAAGATTTTTCACACATTCCCTTCCCGCACCTATACCCAGCTTTTTTCACTTTGCTTTACCTATGAAATTTCCCTTAATTTTTTTCTTGGGGTGGGAGCATGGGCAGGTGGTGGTAGGAGTATCTGCTGTATATAAAACCATTTTTTGGCTAAGTGTTTTGGAGGGGAGTGATTGATTAAACAATGCCTCTCCTCATTTTCTGAAGGGCTTCTTCAAATTTGTCTCCTCTAGGAGGCTGTTGCCAGCTCTCTTGCTCTTCCATGATTTTCTCTACTCACTAGCCTTACTCCCCTCCTCCCTACCATATTGTCCCTTTATATTGAAACCCCATGCATAAACTATTTTATACCTGGAAGTTTCACTGCAGCTGGGGCTGCAATGTATGTCATGAACAATTATGCAGCTTCTTGGCTACTCCATTCTCAACTCACTCTTCATACTGCAGTGAGAGCTTCTTAACCAAGCTTCAGTGCCTTGAAATACAGCACAACTGAATGCTCCCCCTCCCCCCAAGAAAATAACCTTCTTTGCTGCATTCTCTGCATTCCATTAAGGACCTGATCAGACGTTCAGATTGTCTGATGGGTGCGTTTAAAAGTGAAAAGGGGTCCCCATGGGACTACTCAGGTGTATCTCCCTCCTGACTCTGATGGGGTGGAGGATGAACTCTGGTCTGACGGACAAGCATTAGCCCCTGCTTGTTCTCTGATTGATTCTCAGGCCCTGAGTGGGTGAAGAGCTGTGAGGCAGCAGCTCAAGCTAAGATTGATTGCCTCAATTTCAAATTCCCACCTCCAAAATAGGCTCTCAGATGTACACATAAGGAACCCCCTCCTCCAACATAATTTCTGGAGGTGGAGCAGGTGTTTGAGTCACCTGTAGCTACCAATCACGAGTGGTTCTTATCACAGTGATGCTGGCTGCACAAGTCTTCTTCAGGGATGCATTAAAGCCCAGCGATGGGAGATATTTTATATCTGCCTGTGTCTATCTCTGTATGTGTGATTTTGGGTGGGGGTGGAATTTAGATACTGGGGTCAGCAAAGAAAGGAACAAGAACTTCCACTTGAGGTTGGTCTGGAAGGCTGTGTAACTGCTGTGAGGACTCAACTAGGTTTGTTTTGCAAATTGTGGCTGTTAGGATGGAGGTGAGATAGTGAATGTCTCATTGTTATGCTTTGCCAAAGAAGAGCTCTTGATCCTGCCCCCACCCTGCCACCCCCGACCTTGACAGGACCTCCAGAATGTTCACAGTCTAGCCTTGGAGCAGGGAAATACAGTTTACTAGTCTAGATTACTCGTTTTTCTTGGAGTACGGGCAGATTTGGGAATGCAGGCGATCCCCAGCCCTACCTCACCCTCAGCCAGCCTTGGGGTACCTCGTTGCCAGTTGCCACCCCCATCCTAGGGCCTGAGCCCCCACCCCCTCCATCCGTTTTCGGTTTCTTCCCTCCAGCCTCTGTCTCTTCCCTCTCTCTCTTCCTCCCTCTGCCCCACTTTTCCTCCCTCTCCCGCTCTGTCTCACACGCACCCTCTGTTTATTTTCCTGCCTCCATCTGGGCCCTGCTGATATTGTAATCACCCTGATGCACGTTGGCTTCTCTCCTCTCCCTCCTGCGCTCACACACTCACTCACACACAATGTGCCATCCTGACAAGCCTTTTACTTCTGATAAGCTCCGATGTGTGTTTAATGAATACAAAGCCTCGGTCTGGGTGCCGCCTCTGCTGCGGCCGCCTCTCCTGCGCTCCTTTGCCAGAAGGTAATCTCCGTGAACAGGGAGGGGAGGCGAGCAGGCAGGAAGGAGGGGGAGGGAACAGAGGGAGAGCGTGAGGAGGCTGCTTTTCTCTTTCCCTCTCTCCCTTTCCAAATGATTCAGAAGTCGATAAGACCAGGAGAAGTGAAGATGTAACATGTTATCTGTCGCTCCTCTTAGCTGGCGGAGAGAATTTACATTTAAAGATTAGCAGAGGGAGAAAGCGAAATCTACCTTTTGTTGTGTGGGGTGAGGAGGAGGCATCAGTCCTGGCCTGGCCGCTATCTCCCATCACCTCTGCTATCCAGACAGGACTTACCGAGGTGAGATTACTGGAGGGCCTTATCTTTAATTGGGTTTAGTTTTGCCAGTCTGAATAGGTTTAAAGAGACTCAATAAAGGGGGAACAATAGATTATTTATTGACTGGACGCTGAAGCCTTTAAATGAAGAGGGAGAGAAAAAGCTGCTTAAAAACTTGATTGGTTCATTTTTGTTTTTATTTTAAGGTAAGACCGTCTCTCTTCTGGTGCAAGGATGGGCTATAAAACTTAGGCAAAATTTGAATGACTTACATGTCTTATTGCCTCTTATTAGCATCCCCTGCCCTTCTTAGCACCATCACATTTCTTTTAACAGGAGTTTCATTACCCCTGTGTTGAGGATTGATAAACTGAGCAAAAAGGGTAGAGGCTTTTGGAATTGATCATTCATGTTTGATTTTGTGTGACTTGTTTTGAATGGGTGATGAATTGATGCTAATGGTGGTACTTGAATGACTGAGAAGAACAAATGAAGCCTACTTTTAATATGGAATTAGTTGATTTTATAGTGTGGTTTCAACTGGGTCTAGAGAAAAAACATCACTCCCCAGGCTGTTAGGTGGATTTGTATTTTGGATTTGAGCCATGGAATTTTTTCCTTGGAGTTGGTTTAAAAAAAGAATAAAAAAATGTTTTATTGACTCATGAGTGTATTTCAAAAAATAGCGTCAACTTTGGAAGGTTCTTAAGAGGGATATAAGTGGAAAAAATGATTGTTTTGCCTCCTACATATTGTCAAGATAGGTATTTTCATAGGTAAATATGATCCAGTAACTAAAAGCCTAATTAAAATTTGTTTAAAACCAGGGGGGCATGTTTCCTTGTTGACAGCGGCAGATCGATGGGGTAAGACAATAGAGTCCCATTATTTCACTTCCATTGACTGAACATATTGACATTTCAGGTTTACTGTTGCCTCAGTGAGCATGATGAAACACTGAAATTCACAGATCAACTGGCCAGAGTGACACATACATTACTGTGTGTCATTTCTGCCTCAGGTTACCTTATTACCCAGACAGAATGGGAATGGACAGCCTGGAATCCTTCAGAAGGGGTAGAGCTCTTTTGGCTAAGAACTGACAGGTAGCATGTCTTAGGAGCATCTTTAATTTTACCCGGAATTGGATGTGAGAAATATGTGGAGCACTTTTCTTAAAAAATCTGAGAAGCAGCCAGCTACCAATCGTGTATATTTACATGTAAGAATACCCATTTTCAAGATTTACCTTTACTTTCTCCGGAGGTATTTATAGTGAGTGGTTGCTTATCAGCTTGTGCTTGGGTGACATCCGTTCTTCCCCAGTCTAGGGTACTCAACATCCAAGCACCTGCTAAATGTGTATCTAATAAAAGAATGTGTAAGGCCCCTTCCAAAACAGGGCCTGACTTTGAATTTTTGTTTCTTGTTTTCTTTTGGTGGGTGGAATATGAAAATGGGATGTATGTATTTTTGTACATGCATAGACGTAATACGTAAAGATAAATATATGTGCATTCCAAGCAGAAGCAGAGAAAATACTAAGTATTTGTTATCTTCTTGGTGTCCTCCGCCCTTTTACACATTTTGCATAATAAAACTAAGTATTAGGCAGACAATGAGTCAAAGAAATTTGAATCATACAAAAAGTGAAGATGGAGAAAATCAGAAGGGACTTAGCATATTTTTAAAAGTTTAATGAAAATATGCAACTATTATGAATATGTCTGGCACATAGCAATTTGTGCCATAAAGTAGGCAACTGATGCCCTTTACAGTGTTTAGAACAAAACTAGTCCTTTATACCATTTTCATGAAAATGTTAAGTTTCTATTTGATCAGCAGGTGCTGTTGAGATGAAAGCCATGTGTAAATTTTCAGAAGGCCAAAAGTGTCAATTCAGAAGAGGAAAGTGATAAGAGAAAATGCAATCAGTTTTCCTGTTTTCAATTTGTGCAGGATTTGAAGAGCTGTTTTGTTAAACTGCTACATCTGCTCCAATATGAATATTGAACTACTTCCACTAAAAATAACAACCTATAATTTGGAAGCTACTGCAGTCTTTTGTTAATGTGAGTGGGTTATTTAAAAACAAAAAAACAAAAAACAAAAAAAGACAATTTTCTGTTCTGACAATCTCTTGCCTAATGTGCATTTTCATTTGTTGGCACTTTTATCCTCAGCAGATAAATGGTATTATGCAATTAGGACCTCATCTTGTTTGACTATGAAAGAGGTTTCCATAGGTGAAAATCCTGGTAATATAAAAAGGGTTCGCACAGAACAAAATTTGTTTTAAAATAACCTGTTTAAATACAGTTATTTAAAATAAGATAGTTATTCCTTACCTTCTCTAATACTACAATTTTTAACTTACTGCAGACTATAGTAAAATTAACACTATTCCATTGCATACTGAGCATTTTGTGATTTATTTCACCTTTAATATACCTGCAAATGTAAGTTTAAACTAATCAGGGATATTTTACCTAACAGGCTTTCAGAATAATTTTTTTCATGCTTAAATAAAATGATTAAATTATGCTTGAGTGCCTGCATACAAAAGCTTTAGCTTCTATAGTGCTGCTAATCAAATAAGTTTTATGGACAGGGAAAGCACCACATTAGAGAAAAATTGGATGCATTTTACTGGTGACATTTCTAGGAAAGACACGTTCTTTTTAAATCATCCAGTATTAATTAAGAAGAAAACTCTAATACACCTTAAATAATCATAATAGAAATAATACATCATCCCTATAATAAGAAAATGAATGGCAATACTATCTGTGTAAAACTGGGCATAGAGAATTAAGGTAGAAGAAAGACTGATGAAATTTGGATCAGGTTCAGTATTGGCTCTGTCCACAATTGCGGTTGGGTTGACTTGTGGCTATAGTGATTTGTCCAGGGTGAGACGTGATCACTGCTTAGGATCAATTAGAGGCTGTGTAGTTTGTGGCTTCACACTTGAATTGTCAGATATAGTCTTCACAGATAAACCCAGATAAATCTCCAGAATGGTTTAAGGGGAAGGCAGACATTGTGACACATTAGCGTGTTGGATATTAACAATGCAGTGTTTCTTCTGACACTCAACACAAAAGAAGAGGTTAGTTTGAATAACAGTGTTGAATGTGTGTACTTGTGATTACATGTATGTAACCAACCAAAGAATAATGCTTTTAAGGAGCGTAGTTTCCAATTTGAAGCCAAACTGTGGCATGCTGTGCTGGCTTGTCTTTAGAGACCTGGGCAGCCATGTAGGTATATTCCTTAGTCCAGCACCAAGCACTTGGCCACTCTCAAGAAATGACGCTGAATCACATATCAGCATAAGAAAGTTTATTTTACAGACACAATCTCCTCACGTGTATGTGATATTCTAATGAGTTGTTTTTGTGCTGAAGCCACATTCATTGTTGAAGCCTCAGTGCCTTTGTGTGGCATCAGCAGGGGAGAGCTTCTTACTACTCTTTTCAAAATGTTCATACTTTATGAAGTGATGTCCAGGCTTTTACATCAGAACCACGGATAAACTAATGCCCCACAGTTGAGGTTTTAAGGTATGAGATCCTCCTCTTCGAAAAAGTTTAAAATCATCGATGCTGCTTAGAACCACTAACATTTTCACCGACGCTAAGAGACCTACTTTTTAAAATCCCCTGCTTGGATGACTCTAATTGAGATTACTTGTATAATGTAATTTATGAAGGAATGAGGCAGGCTTTTGTTTTTGTAGCTTTCGTTTTGGTCAAGATTTCTAAGGCAAATCAGTATTTGGGTGAATAAGGCTTTTGGAATATAGACTTTGCTGAATTCGGAGGGGCAGAGGTGTGAAGTTTTCCTGTGTTCAGCAATCTGAGCACCTCTCAGTGCTTTAGGGAATGGGATTGACTTAGACTGATTAATCTTTTAACGCTTGGGGCATAGGCTACTTCTGAGTGTACTCAGGGCTTTCAAGGGCTGCCACCTAGTTGTTTGTGTTGGGAGAGAGGAGAGGAACTGACAAATATTAGAGGCCTACTATGAACCTGGAGTTAACTTTCAGATACATTGTCATCACTGATTTTAAGTAAATGATTAACCAGCATTTCACTTTGCTCATTTCAAAGAGCTCCAGCCCGACACTCCAAGACTCCTCCTTGACCTTTTGACCCAATATGGAAAACTGAGGTTTCTTTGTGCTCCCAAAATTAATTATCTACTTTGTTCCCTAGATCTAATAATTAGAGCCTTATTTTCTGAATACCTGGCTTAATATTCTTCTCAGCTGCTGTGATCTATGCATCCACTGTTTCTTTACTTATGCCCTTGCTCCCAACCTAGGAATCAGAGTTGGCTACTAGCTTACTATCCTTGGATATGCCCAAGTGTATATGCCAGTCTGTGTGCCTCAGTACCTCCTAATCTGAGCTTCTTCATTACTAAATCCTGTTCCCTCATCAGAATACCACCTTTCTGGGGCTGAGTGATTAAGTTCACACACTCTGCTTTGGCAGCTCAGAGTTTCGCCAGTTTGGATCCTGGGTGCAGACCTAACACAGCTCATCAAGCCAAGCTGAGGAGGCGTCCCACACAGCAGAACTAGAAGGACCTACAACTTGAATATACAACTATGTACTAGGGGGCTTTGGGGAGAAGAAAAACGATTGGCAATAGATGTTAGCTCAGGACTAATCTTTAGGGGAAAAAAAAAAAGAA